TCACAATTGGACCAATAGGAAACATCATGATAGAGAAACAATTGAAGTTGTCAAGTTGATCTTATCTTGCTTGGATCCACCATCAATTCTCATGGAAACAATAGTTGATAGACCAAACGATGCATTGCATTGACTAAATCTGCTGCACAAGATCTCCTTAAAGTGCTGAAGGTCAGATATCACTCTGAAGACTAGTGCACCTTACCCAAGCCAGCACATTTTCATTCGCCTCTTATGCATGTGAAAGGTGGAGAATGAATAAAAAAGACTGAAGAAGAATTGATGCTTTTGCATGACGGTCCTGGCAAAGAATATTGGAAGCTCCACAGACTGTCAAAAGAACAAACAAATCTGCTGGATGAGGGGCAGCCAGAATGTTCCTTAGAACAAGAATGGAGCGTAGTCTCTGGAAAAGGGCTCCATGCTTGGTCAAGCGGAGGGGTAGTGGGAAAGAAGAAGGCCCTTGATGAGAGGAATCGGTACAGTGGGTGCAGCAATGGGCTCCAACACAGGACCAGGTGGTGTTTCACTCTGTTGGACACAGGTCACTAAGAGTTGGAACTGACTCGACAGCACCCACCAACTTGTGCCAGGAACCGTGATTCTCAAGGAGAATTGTCTGACTTCGTGTTCACGAGTGCTATTCTTCTCTTCGTACAGATGAGGGAATTGAGGATTACAGAGATAAGCAATAGAACGAACATTTATCTGACTCAAATCAGTACCTGCCTGGTTCCACAGATGGCACTCATCAGCACTGTTTTCTTTTCTTTTTTTTTTTTTTTAACATTTTATTAGGGGCTCATACAACTGTTATCCCAATCCATACACACATCAATTGTGTAAAGCGTATTTGTACATCATTTCTCAAAACATTTTCTCTCCATTTAAACCCCCGACATTAGGTCCTCATCAGCACTGTTTTCTTATAATGGCTTCTGACAACACATAGGATTTCACCCTGCCAGAAGGGTGGGGCAGAGGAGGGAGAAGAGTGGGGGTGGTGTCTGGATGTGGAAGGGGTCCATTCCATTTCAAGAGGCTTGTGAGGAAAGCACTCAGAGTATCCAGGTGAAGTGGTTAAACAAGCAGTTAGACTCTAGAGTTAGAATCTTGGCGGGAAGCTGAGCGAGGGAAAAACAAGAGATGGGATGGTGGCTTAGATTATGAGAGGACATGAATGTTCAAGGGGGAAGAGAAGGTGGACTTGGAAGGAGCTCTGGGAAAACATTAGCACTTGAAGACAAGGAAACCAGTCCATTAAAGGCACAGAGGAGCAGTCTTGAAGAAGGGAAATTGACTAACTTATTTTGTTTATTCAACCAATATTTACTGAATCCTAGATGCAGTGGACTATACACTGGGCTTCTAGTCACAAAGTAAATAGTTTAAACCCACCAGTCACTTCACAGGGGAAAGATGAAGCTGTCAGCTTTCATAAAGATTTACATCCTCAGAAACCCACAGGGACAGTTATACTCAGTCTTGTAGGGTCGATATGAGTCAGAATCGACTGATTTATTGATTTTTAGGGAATGATTTCAAGTGTGAGGAGTATACCAGGGAACTAAACAGACAATAGTCCCTGCCTTCAGGGGGTGGGGGAGGCTACATTTCAGTCAGGGGAGACAGGCAGGAGGAAAGATGGATACAGAAGAATGAAGTGGGAATAGAAATTTCAGATATGGCAGACAGGGAACTCCTCTCTGACCAGTGACACCTGATAATAGACCTGAGATGCAGTGCATGCAAATCCTATGGCTGCATCTGTGAGGAGGAAACAGCAGAAAGGGGCCTTGGGACTAAGTGTACTTGGGTGTAACTGAAGAAGAGCAAGGTTAGTGGTCAGGGAGGAGAGAGTGTGAAAATACAGGTAGATGGTTAGGAAGGATGTGGTAGGACTTTGGCTCTTATTCCAAAAGACAATGTAGGGGTTTGACCAAAGAAGACATCATCAGAAATGTGATGTAAAAGGATCACATTGGCTGCTATGTCATGAATAGACAGATCTTGAACTTGGAAGAGGGAGACCAGAACGGAGAGTGCTGCAGAGATCCGGGCAACAGAAGACGGGGCTTAGATCCAGTTGTTCAAAGTGAAGACAATGAGAAGGGTCTGGGTGCTGGACACATCTTGAAAGTGGAGCTACCGGGGGTTTAAGTGGAGAGAAAATGTTTTGAGAATGATGAGGGCAATGAATGTACAAATGCGCTTTACACAATTGATGTGTGTATGGATTGTGATAAGAGTTGTATGAGCCCCTAATAAAATGATTTTAAAAAAAAAGAGAGTGGAGCTAATGGTATTTGCTGACATCTGGAAATAAGAACCTGTAGTACGGGTGAAAAGTCTGGTTGAACACCCATACTTGTGAGTCATCAGAAGAGAGGCGATATTTAAAGGCATGGGGCTGGCTGAGGTCATCTAGGAAGTGAGGGTGGGTGGAGGAGAGGCCGGAGTTCTCCAGTGTTTAGAGTTGGGGAGGAATCAACAAAGGGGACAGGAAAACAGCCAGTGAGTTACGAAAAGAACCAGAAAAGCACACTGTCTTGGAAACTGAGGGAAGAAAGTACAAACAGCCCGTTGTGCCCCTAACCAAGTAGCTGCAGGGCTCTAGGAAGCACCACTGGATTTTACCATCTAGAAATCATCACTGTCTTTATAGTACTCTATTCAGGGAGTGGCAAGAGCAAATGCCTGATGGAAGTGTGCTTAGGAGAAGGGAAACTCACAAGCTTTGCTTCATAGAGAAGAATCACAGGTGTCTTTTCTAAACTGGGAGATAATGCACCAGTGTCACATACTACAAAAGGGCCAGTATCTGATCTTGGTGTCCCTGGTCATCTCAAGTGAGACCAGTTTCAGGAAGTAGTAAAAGTAGGAACAAGTTTTCCATAAAACAATTAATGGAACATTAGACAAAGTAGATAAGGCATGTCGATTTAGTTGAGGAAGGTTGAAGAAATGAGACCTGGGATAACAAGATTTTTGTTCTCTTTTCAATTTGCGAGGTGAGAGATTTTCATGTTCTGAGTGCTGCTGTGGGCTAGGTATTGGGACTGCTAATCACAAGGTTGGTGGTTCCAAACTACAAGCCACTCCATCTGAGGAAGATGGAGTTGTCTGCTCCTGTAACGATTTGCAGTCTCAGAAACCCAATATGTGAGCTGGAATAGCCTCAATGGGTGGTTAACTGTGGAAATAGAGAGTTGAGCAGAAAAAAACAGGAGATAACCTATGGATAACCGATAGTGAAGGGACTAGCCTTACCTGTGAAAAGGGTCACCTCTCGCTATGAAGTCAGTAAGGAGATGGGGTGGAAGGAAATAGGTAAGGGCCTGGGTAAGACAGCAAGGAAGTGAGGGAGAGCGTTGACATTTTGGGCTTTCTGATCAACATCCCCCTTAATAACAGTTAAACATTTTTTCTTCTAAGACTAGATACTCTTGGCCTGAAGAGAATGATGAAGGTTGGAAAAGCTGTGAGCATCCTTAGAGGCATGTAGACATGCAGCAGAGAAGCAGGGCATGCAGATAAAGATGGAGTGGTCAGGAGGGGCCTGCAGTGTTCTCAGAAGTCTAGCATGGCACAGAGTTTACAATGTGTGGTGGTGGAAGGATAAGGGAAGGGCATTGGGGGCACATGTAAGAGTGTAAGGGCTAAAGTCAGGTAAGGTGATGGGTGAGGAGGAGGTAGAGGGACGGAAGATCTTGCAGTCTCTGCAAGATGAAGCTGGGCAGGTAGATTGGGGCTAGAGCATAAGACAGCTAGGAGGGTGGGAGGCTGTGGTCTGAGTGACACTGGCTCTGAGAGGAGGGCGGCTCTGGGGAGGGAGAAGTGGAGGAGTTGAGGTGGATGAGGATCACAGGGTTAGAGCTTGGGGTAGCCCTTGCTGAGACTGTCAGAGATGTTGGCAGTCTAAATGGAGAGATGGCCTGGGCTAGTGGCGAAGGTCAAGGGGAGGGGGGGGTAAACAGTGGATTATGGGTCATAGAGCACAGAGGGGGGAAGGGGCCTGGGGGTGGGAATCACTTTGGATATGAAAGATTTGAAGCAATGGATGTCCTGGGGACTGAGGACTTTTCAGAATGCAAGCCCTGGGGTTTTGTTAGTGACCTGAAGGTCTCTCCTGGTATGGAGAATTTCAGAGGGGTTGGGAGTCCCCTAGGGTGGGAAATGTGAAGGAACCAAGGTTCATTTCTTTGTGATGGGCAGGCAGAGGAGGTGTGGGGTGCAGAATCCTGGAATGGGGGAGGACAGGGAGGGTGTGAGGCCACACCTGCTTGGTGTGCTAACAGAGGGGTCGGGTTGGCAGGGTGAGGCGGACAGGGGAGGTAGGTGGTGTGTGGAGTGGAGTCAAAGGTGGGGGGCCGGGGGCTGGTTGTGGGTCAGGAGGTGTGCGGGACGAGAACTGGTGACATTGTATAGGGTTTTGGGGTCTTATGGAGTGAGGGGGCAGGACAGGGGGTACTGACTGTGAGAAGTAAGAAGGGGTATAAGGGCCTGAGGAGTTTGATGGTTGTGAGATGAGGGGGGTGAAGGGTGAAGGGTCTGAGGGGTGAGGGGCCTCAGGTGTGAGGGTTGAGGGTGTCTGAGGGGTGAGGGGTCTGAGAGTGATGGGTGAGGGGCCTGAGAGGTGAGGGGTATGAGGGGTGAGGGTCTGAGGGACTGAAGGGTGAGGGGGGAGGGGCCTGAGGGGGGAGGGGTCTGAAGGGTGAAGGTCTGAGGGGTGTGAGGGGTCTGAGGGGTCTGAGGGGTGTGAGGGCTCTGAGGGGTGTGAGGGGTCTGAGGGGTTCGGGGCTTGAGGGGGGAGGCGTCTGAGAGTTCTGAGGGGCTCGGGGCTCGGGGTCTGAGGGGTCTGAAGGGGGAGGCTTCTGAGGGGTAAAGTGCCTGTGAGGAGGGGGTGAGCGGCGAGGGCCTGAGCGGGGCGGGGGCTGTGGGCAGAACGACGTGAGGGGGAAGGCTGGCACCCATGGCGTTTGGGTCCAGGTGGAACCTACCACGCAGGTTTGGGCCTCCAGCTGTCACGACGCTCACCTCCTGTTCTGCCCACGCTTGGTCGCTCGGCACGTGGATGCTCCCGGAAGTGACGGAATTACGTTTTGCCTTTCCACCCCTCTCTGTTACTTGGCCCACCCCTGGAGCTGGACTAACTCCCTTATTGGCTGGTCTCTGCGGAAGGGGTGGGCTTAAGCACGTGCCGGAACCAGCTCTCTGATGGCTTCCGGGCTGGCCTTGGCCTCGTTGCTTGAGGTCAGCAAGTGCCGGACTTGAGGCCTGGCCAAGAATGGAGGAGAACTGAGTGGAGACCTGGAACTTTAGCGCTCACCGACCTGGCAACCCTCCCCTGGGCTCCTTTCAGCAACAGGACTCCTAACCCATTAACCCACCGTGCCTGCCACTAGGGCTCCCTTTGCACAGCAGGCAGTGGCACACCTCTTTTCTGAACAAGTGTGCTAGTGTGAGGGATGACTGCCCAACTATTTTGAATACTCCAAACCCCCATGCAAAGTCTAAATAATTGTGGTCTTATAGAGGAGGCAGCTGAGGCTCAGGAGCTGAGGGTTTGCCAGGTCCTTCTGGCCTCTGAGTAGGGTGCACACATCACTAACAGTGCTTAGAGGGACTGGCCCGTGACGCACACATAGAAATAAGAGTATGCAGGAGTCTACTCATGGGGTTTTTCTCAGGAAGTCCCAGGATCTGGGGCTTTATTCAGAAGCCGAGGCCCATGGAGGGATATAAACTCTGGTTGATGCTGCTATTGCATGAGAGACAGTGGAGGCTTGATGGTGGAGGTGGTGGTCACTTTGAGGGGGAGTGGTAAAAGGACATTTAGAAGGTGGGCTTGACGGAGCAGGTGAGGGAGAAGGGATGAGTTAGTGGGTGGAGGAGGGGTCCACTGGCCCAATGAGAAGAGTGCAGGAGAAGCCAAGGTGGGAGATTGGTAACTTCAGGTTTGACAGTCCCGACTCCTCTGCCACCCACCCACTGAGCTTTTTCTGTAGGGATTCTGACCCCTAAGAACAGTTGGAATTGATCCAGGTCATTCCAACAAATCAAGTCTGGAGTTTTGGCCAACCCTTCTCACCAGTGAGCCACCTCGAAGGCTTCCAATCTTTCTCCCATTCATGGTTTCTGACATAGCACTCAAGGAAAGCGTGGACCACAGATCCCATTGCTGGGAGAATGCAGCAGCTTCTGGTGAAAGTAAGTGTTTCCCAGGCTGCGCTAAGGGGTTGGATTCCAGACAGTGGGTCTGGCATTCCCCAAGAGAGCCTGCCTCATTGGGGGAAAAGGAGAGTGACTCTTGAGAGGGGTAGAGGAGCTTAGCTCAACAGATGTAAACTGATCAACCATTGGGTTAAGGTAGTTGTGTTTTGCATGTGGGAAAGATCAATTTTGGGGATTCAGAGAGTGGGAAATTGTGAACTGTCCCTACAAAATACATACTGAGATCCGGGCCTTTGTACCTGTGGGTGCTATCCAGTTTGGAAAGAGGAATTTCTTCTCTGATGTTAATGAGGTCTTATCAGTGTAGTGTGGGTTCTAAACCAAATCACTTCTGAATTATAAAAAGGTGAGAGACACAGAAACATGGGAGAAGGCAGCAGCCATTTGAGAACCACCTTCAAGGAAGGGCCTCCCTCTGGAGCTATGGCTTGAACTAGGACTTCTAGCCTCCTGAAATGTGAAAAATTAGTCACTGTTCTTTAAAGCCACTCATTGGCAGCACTAGGAGACTAAGACACCCATTATGCCAGGGCTGTCTGCATTTGGGTGCCCTTGTACATCTGAGGCTGGTATCGATGCCCAGTAAGTGATTCACACAGAATGTGGGTGTCACCACGATGCCAGGCCATAAACACCCCTGTCTGGCCTCTCAGAGGGGGGATCTTTGTCAGCCTGCCACCCTGGGGAGGAGGGAGGATCAGGAGGAGTCCCCACCTTGGCCAATCAGGTTTTAGTTGAGCAAGGATTAAGCTCGTGGCTGGATCTCATGAGGTTCCAGTGTTTACCTGTTCTCAGTGGTAGCATTTCTCTAGGGATGCAGCTCCCTGGGTGGTCTGGTTGGCTCCCACCAGAGGTTTGCAGCCTGGCCCAGCACCATGACCTCTCCTCACATTTATGTCTATGAACTGAATGAGCTTCAGTGTTAGGGAAAAGCTGGCTTCCAAACTGCCCACTGCCCAACAGGTGCTAGACGTTCCCTGAGCCCACCAGGTCTCAGGCCCTGGCCTAGGGTCACACAGGTGCCTTGAGGGCAGACACCTGTGAAGATCTTGAGAAAAGCTCTGGACAGAATGAGGCCCCGAGAGGATACATGGGCCTTTAGTAGCCTCCGTGGTCAGAGGGTGTGTGTGTGTGCGTAGAAGCCCTCTCACCTCTCTCAGGTTTAAACTATTACCAAAGGCCCAGATATCACCATAAGTTGTATTTCCAACATCCTATGAGACCCTTTCATGACTTGGTCATTGCCTAGTGACCTGAGCTGAGGCATCTCTGATACCTCTTCAATGGGCCTCTGCCTTAGATCTCTCACCCTCCTCCTCTTCCCTACTTCTAACCGCCCTGTGCCCTCCTCCTGTGTCCTAACACCAAACCAGGCCCAGAGCGAGCCCATCAAATGCAGAGCAGATCATGTCACCCACTTCCAACTCATTTTATTCAGAAAGGTCAGCCTCTTGACTTTGCCCCTGAGCCTCAAAGATCAGGCACGCTACACTGGGAAGTTTGATTTAAAAAAAAAAACAACCGTACTCACTACTCTGGAGTCAATGCCAACTCACAGTGACCCCATCGGGCAGGGTAGAACGTCCCCTTATGGTCTGAGACCACTAGAAAACCTCTTTCTCCCGCTGAGCAAATAGGGTTTCAAAGTGCTGCCCTTGAGGCTGGCAACCCTTCACGTAACTACTGAGCCACCGGGCTCCTCTGGAAGGTTTGATAAGCTTTTAGGGTTGTTGAAGTGCAAAAGTGATGATCTGGAATGTGAACCCCACCTAGAAATCATAAGAAAAAGCTTGGAAAAAGACAAAGATCCTGCGATCCCAACCATGCCTCTATACCCGGCAGCAGGTATAAAGGGCAGCGGACAGGGAGCAGGGCCTCCACGAAGTGTATGGACACAGCGGCTGCAGCAATGGGCTCAAACCCAGCAGTTGTGGGATGGTGTAGGACCGGGTGAGTTTACTTGTGCATGGGACTAGGTGACACCTAAGGACAGGCCCCTCCCTGGCCTCCAGCCCCTTCCTCCCCTCCTCCTCCATTCTGGAGCCCTCCCTCAATCCCTCACTTCCCTGGTTCCTCTCCATCTCTGACTCCACCCTGCTCCCCACCTCTCCCTTCTGACCCCAAAGCCCCAGCTCCACCCTTCACGGGCTCCGGCCTCCCTTCCCACCCTTTGTCCCTCTGTCAGGGCAGGTTCCTTAGACTTTGGCCTGGCCGTCCCCAGACAAGAGGGCATGTCTTCGGACGTCTGTGCAACTTTCTCCTTCACTCTCATGAGCTTCCTCCGTATGCACGCCGTGGGTCCTTAGCCCCCAGTCCCCGGGGCCTGGCCCACACAGGCTTCCTCGCTGTCACTCTGCACTACACAAGGATGCAGCCCCCAGCAGTGGCGTCACTCATGGATCACCCAGGACCCAGAGCCAGGGACAGGGCACCTGATACTTCTCATAGTCGCTGTCCCCAAGTCCGCTCTTGGCCTGTTGGGGGTCTGCAGGTGTGTGGATGCCCTGTAAAGGTGTCAACAAAAGGCAGCCAGGGCAGCGCAGGGACAGGTCCTGTGGGGCCGGCAGACAAGCAAAAGTGGCCTTGGGAAGGAAGGGTGAAGGTCACAGAGCAGCTACAGTGAGTGTGGACATGGGTCTCAGGGGCCCACATTCCAGCATGGTGAAGCAGGGTAAGGGTGACTGGCGGGGCAAGGACTTATTCCAGGAACTCTGGGTGTGGACACGGGTCTCAGAGTCCACATCCCAGTGGAGCCTCAGGGCTACCCTCACTCAAGGGCCTTCCTAGTACCCCGAGACCCACCTGCCCCCTGGCAGGCTGAGCTGGGTAGGCAGGGAGGGCCACCTAGTTCTCTAACAAAACATAGGTACTGAAGGTACTAAGAGATTACACAGCCTTATTTTTATTAACATCTACCGAGAAAATGTTAAAGTCCATCCCGGCTCCAACCTCACCCCCAGCACCTCAGTCCTCGGAAACAGCATCCAGCCAGAGGGCTGTCTTTCTGAGCCTGGGACGCTGCTGACCACCAGGGTGCCGCAGGCCGGCCAGCATTGGTGAGAGGGGTGGCTGGCCACACCTTGGCCCTCAGCGAGCAGCCTCAGGGACTTGGAAAAGGTCTGCGATGTCCAACAGAGCTTGGCGGATGTGGTTCCCAAAACGCTGGGCATTCTGGGGGTCAGAGAGAACTCAGTCCCTGGGCAAGGGCACTTCTGAGCCAGGGCAGGGTGGGGCAGAGAGACTCACTGTTTCCGAGCTTGAGAACTTGCTGGAGACGTGGAAGAAGATGGTGTTTTCGCCGGCAATCATGTAAGACACCCCATAGCCATCGTCGGCGACCTTAGGGCCACAGTAATGAGGCCTGCCTGAGAGCCAGAGCCAGGCCCTCCAGGCCCTACCTCAGGTACAGGCCTCCTTGAGCTGTCTCCCAGACCTCCCACATCTGGGCCCCTCCCACAGGGTCTGCCCTCTCGTGGGGGAGCTGATCCCCAAATAGGGCGGGTGGGGTCCCCCATCTAGCCTCCCCTTGATTCCTGGTGCTCCCCCATCCTTCCCTCCTGCCCTATTGGGGCACTTACTGGGCCAAAGCCCCCTCCGGCCCCCAGGTGATTGGGGTACTTGTTGGGGTCGAACATGCAGATCTGGAATTGAGCTATCTGGCTGGTGGAGAGGCACCAGGGTTCTGAGAGCACCTGTGAGAGACGGGAAAGCCACGGGGTCTGATCCCCTGTTGGCTCCACTGACACACCTGAGAGCCGAGCAGAGCGAGCATAATGGCACAGACTTCCAGATGCTGCGCCCTCTCTGCGCCCAGCTCCCTGTCTGGGCCGCCCTGCCCCTCCTGTGGCCACCCCCACCCCCAACTCTGCCCACCCTCCTTCATAGCTCCTGTCCTGCATGCTCCGTCCCTGGTTCCCTGCTTCTCAAGCACCAGCTGTGGGGTCTGGGCACTGGCTCATCCCTACCCAGAATGCTTGCCTGCTCCTTGCTTCTGACACTTCAGGAGAGACACCCCCACCCCCCACTCCACACACTCTACCTCCTCCCAGGACCCAAGGGCTCGGAGTGGGCAGGCCCAGCCTGCCAGGTGGCCCTGACTTGGGAGGGCACTGACCTCAGCCAGGAAAGGGGATGTGACCCCCAGATACTTGGAGACCAGGTAGAGGCAGAATAGGTGTCGGTCGATGCCGGCCCCTGTCATGGCCAGGCGGTACATGTTCTGGTGCTTCTCTGACGCCTTCCGGAAGAGGTCTTGGAGGTCTGCTTTCTGGGGACAAAAACAGGGATGGGGGTGCTCACTACCTTGTTCTGATCCCCACAGTGAGTGGGGGTCCTCAACATGCCCCCCTTGCGGGACTAGGTGGCCCTGGTGGGGCCTCACCATGTGGTGACCATCCATCATGGCCTGCACGAAGGCGGAGGACTCGCTGGTACAGGACCTCACGGTCTCAGTCCGTCCCTCCCGGAACATTCTGGTCATTGAGGCCTCATAGGTCAGACAAAACTTGCCCCTGTCCTGAGGAACACAGGGGTGGTTTGGGTGGGCAGCTGCCCAGGCCCACCAATACCATCCCTGGCCCACTGCCCCTGCTGCCGCCTGCTCACCCGGAAGTGGGCCAGCTGCAGGGAGATCTGCACGAAGGCATCGGGGCTGGTGCGGCACTTCTTGATGAGGCCTTTGCCAAAGGGCATGAACTGGAAGCAGTATAGCTCCACGTCGTCAGCCAAGGCCTTGGCCACCTGGTAGGAGCGCTCGATGGCCGTCTGGCACTGCGGGGAAGGCGAGGCATGGTGGGGAGGGGGACAAACAGGCCACCTGGGGCGCCCGGCATCGCACTGAGGACAGCTGATGAGCGCAAACTCAAGGACTATCTGAGCCAGGCAGCCTGCAGCCTGGGACTCTGGCCCCTCACGCTTCCAGGGGAAGTGGGGAGGTAATGGCCCCTGACCAGCTCCTGCACCTTCTGGGGTCCCCGGCCCACCTGCTCAGGAATGTCCCACTGCAGCCGCTGAGGTGGTGCTAGCGTGGGGTTCGGTTGGCCCAGACAGTGACCAGTCTCCGTGTAGCCCAGATGGAAGGTGTCGGTAGCCAATACAAACTGAGAGACAGGGGTCAGACTGAGGGGCCAGCCATGCCCCCACCGCCTGCCCCTGGGGCCTATCTGGCCCTACCTCCCAGAGGTGCCCGATGATGGGGGCATCTGCCCATGCGTGCTCCGTGTTGAGGCCCAGCTGGCCATTCTTGAAGGCGATGAGTGTGAAGGACTTGTCGAACCACCTGGATGAAGCCAAAAAGGGGGCAGAGGGGGTGAAGGCTCCAGGGCAGGTGGTGGTGGGGCACTCAAGGCAGCAGGGAGCTTCAGGGTAGGGGGCTGGTCACGGCTCCAGGCCAGGGCCTCACCTGTTGTAGCAGCTGCCATGCAGAAGGGCCTTGCCATAGAGACTGAGGCTGGCCTCATCCTCAGGATCGTAGGCGTGGGACTCCTCGTCCAGGGTCACAAAGAAGGCTGCCCGCTCCACAGTCTCCAGGGCGGCCTTGTTCTTGCCACGGCTGAAGAAGGCCTGGCGGGCCTCAGCCCAGTCCACCCTGGGGGCACAAGGGCAGCACTGGGGGCACCTGCAGGGCTGGGCTGCCCTTTGCGCACCAGTCAGGGGTGGGGTACAGGGGAAGTGCCAGTCAGCACCACCAAGGGCACTGCTCAGAGGGCAAGTGCCTCCCCTGGCCCACCTCACCTTCCACCAGCTGTCAGTGCCGCCAGCTTCTCCTCCCCGGGCTGTGGTGGGGAGCTGTCATCCAGGATACGCTGGAACTGCATCTCCAGGTCGCAGGGCTGGAGCAGCTGGGAGCCCTTGTACAGCCACACCTTGAAGAAGCGGCCCTTGTGGTAGACCGCCACGTGCCTGCTGTCGCCCAGGTGCTGCAGCAGGTCTAGGGAGGGTGAGGGAGCTGAGGCCGGGTGGGCCAGCCAGGAGAAGCCTGATCCCTACCCTGTGGCCCCCAGGACCCCTATGGCCTGCTCTTCCCCATTCCCTTTGCCCCCCTGGCACACAGACCCTGCCTTCAATCCCCTCATGGAGAGCAACGGAGCTGAGTGCCCCCACTATCACCTCTGTTTACTACCATGCCCCTCGACCTGGGGGGCAGCTCTGTGCCAGGCTCCTGGGAGGCCAGAGCCCTGCAGCCTGCCTGTCTCTGGCAGCAGGCATTATGTGTGTGTGGAGGTGGGGGGATGGGGTGGGGGAGGCGCAGCACCTGTCTCCTTGCCCGGTATCCGGGTGGTGTTGAACATCCTCTCCATCTGGTAGGAGCACATGGGCACAATGCCCATCGCCATCATCTGCAAGAAAGTGCCAGGCTGGGCAGGCCACCCTCCACTCCACCCAGCACCACAGTGAGAATGGTCCAGGGCTGGGACTTGGCACCCCCTCCACCAGCCCCACCCCACTCACGGGCTTGATCTCTTCTCGATCCAGTTTACGGCGATACAAGATCATAGAGTGGACGATGTTCCCCAGGCGGGCGGCCTGCACCTCCGTGGGTTTGATAAGCACAAAGTCCTGGGAAAGAGGGGCAGTAGGTGCTGGGGATTGACCCTTCCCACGGTGCATCCTGCGCATGCCACCAGGGCTGGTTTCTGGAAAGGGGACACTGCCCACACTACCCCCAGGTCCTTTCATCTGTGCAGGTTGTACTCTGCTTTGAAGACAGAGCAGTGCAGACTTGCTGTATGTGAGTTTTGGGAAAGGAGAGGAGGGTGGGCTTGTGCCAGAGGGAGCTGCAACAGGGTACAAAAGATGGGCAAGGGGGTGGCGGACAGCACCACCCTGGGTCAGTTGAAGCAGCCACAGGGATCCCTGCGCTTACCATGACATAGTAGTTGCTGTTCACCATGAGGGGACTCCTGCCTCGAAGGTAAATGTATTCTTCCCACCAGTCACTCACCTGTGAGCGGGCAGGAGGGCAGTTAGGGGGCAGGGGTGGGGCCAAGCAGATGGGGCCCACAGGTAGGTGGGGAGAAAAGCACCCAGAGGGTTAAGGTGGGACTTACGTAGTTGGTAGCCCACCAAGACTTGAGCACCAGGTACTTCTGCAACCGAGGGGCAGTCTTGTCCTGGAATTCCTTGGCCAGCATCTCCATGCGGTAGAATTGCTCCTCATTCAACAAGGGCTTCACCGACTCCAGGTACTGCCCAGCCATAGTGTCAGGGTGGGGTCTGACACCAACACCTGCCTGGGACTCTCCTGCCCCCTCCCCCAGCCCCCCACTCCCTAGTGAGCCCTCTCCATGGACAGTCTCTCTGTCCAGCTCGGCCCCACCCCAGGCCCTCACCCTCTGGATGGTGGCTGGCACGCTGGGCACAGGGAGCGTTGGCAGGGATGTCTGGAAGCTGTAGAGCATGGGCCGCCGGCTGGACAGGAGGCGGACACAGATCTGGAGCACAGAAGGCAGTGTGTGGGGCGGAAGCCAGAGGGCTTGGGACCTCCCCACCACCCCGATACCCCACTCAGGCCCTGTACCCGGCCCTGCTCACCGCCCAGACCCTGGTAACATGGCTGGTCTGGCCATGCATCTCAAAAATCCAGCCATGGTAGGAGAGCAGCAGCTTCAGGGTTTGCCGCAGGAAGAAGATGCCAGTGGCCCAGGCACCCGTGGCGAAGATGGCCATGCTGAGCAGGGCCTTGGTCTGCGGGGTCTGGTAGGGGCTGCATCTGTGCCGGGGCAGGGGGCAGGTGCAGTGAGCAGTCATGAAACCGCCCAGGCTGAATGCCACTAGGGATTGTGGCCCTTCTCAAGGGACCAGTTCCTCAGGAGCATCAGACACATCATTAGAGGGGAGCTGAGGTGCTGGCCCAGGGTTTACTCTGAGCGCACCTACCCCAGCCTTCCAGGACCCCTGTGCCCACCTCCAAGTCCTGCACCTTACCCTTCAGGGAGACATTTCTGGATCCTACAGACCAGACCCATGGAGAGGTCCACGTTGCAGAAGGAGGACCCCACGGTTGCCATGACAACGACCATCCACCCGGTGGGGCTGCCTGGGTACACACCCCTGAGGATTCCATTCTGTGGGCAGAAATGGGGGCAGCTCTCCTGGGACTTGGAGAATGGGGAGTCAGGTGAGCAGGCCCCCACGAGGTAAGGGGGCTCTGGTCTTTCTGCACTGCTCCTACACCTGCTGCGTTCTTCCCACCCTTCTTCAAGTCTCCTGTTCACACTCACCGCCTCGCCCCACCTGCCGGAGTCTCTCTCTACCCCCCCCACCCCCCACCCTGTTCCTGCATTGCCTGGCCTGCTATCCTGCAGAACTCAGGGGCTTGGCCGCTTGCCCGAATCTGGGACGGCGACCTGGGAGGGGGCAGCAGTGGCCCCAGGCACCGCAGCCTCCCCACAGCAGCTCTGCACCTGCAGATGGAAGAGGCGGGGCCCAAGAACCACTGCGCCCACCTTGATCCGAATCAGGCGTTTCTTCCAGGAGTTGATGCCAGACAGGTAGATGTGTTTCAGGGCCTCTCTACTGAGCCGGAAGTCGACCCCGTCTGGGGTCACTGTGAACTGGAAGGCCACCGCCTGGTGTGCTTCCGCCATCCTGGGGGTTGGTCGGCACCTGGGCGTGGGGCAAGGGGTGCGCGCGCGCGCGGGCTCAGGCCGGCTCCGCCCCCCGCGCCCCCAGTGAGCGAACCAGGCCCCCCACCCCCGGTCCGCCTCGGCCGGGCGCCCCCGGCCCGCACCCCAGCCTGTCTGCAGCTGGCGCTCCCAGCCCCGAGCCAACGGCTGCAGAACCCTGGCGTCCGCGTTCCGGCAGGTTCCGCCACAGTGGGCAGCGGGTTGGGCATTCAGGGGCCTTGAGCAGGGGGTGCCAGAAAGGGGGTAGGAAGGCCCGGCTCGAGGGGGTCCAGGGAGCCCCCAGCCAGACCCCTCATCCCACCCCCAACCCGATGGCAAGAGGCACCCCTAGGCCCATCTGGCCCGTGCTGCCCTGCACTACCCTCTGCTCACGGTTCAGGCTCGCTCTGGTCTGTGGGGCTGCCGGCTCTGGCCCGTGTCCCCGCGTCCTTCAGGCTGCCCCAGCCCCGCCCTCCCTGGGAACCTGACACCTACTCCCAAATTGGGTCGGAAAACAGTTGCGGGCTGGAACCTCAATCCCCTCCCCGTGGGGGACTCAGGAGCAGGGGCGGGTGTCTGAGAGTTGAAGGTTGCCCAAAGGTCTGGGGAGGTTGGGACCCACTGGGTCTCACGTGAGTCTGGTGCATTTGAGCTAAAAATAGCCAATGTAGGGGAAAGGTCACCGGCATGTCAGCTGGGCTGCCAGAGCAGCTCCACTTGGCCCCCAAGTGCTCCTAGCTTGCTACCCCTGGCCTGGGAGGCGGGAGGTGAGGCCCCGGGAGCAGGAGTGACCCTCATGATCCAGCTGGTGCACTGTCCAGCCCTGCTCCACCAGGGAAACCGAGGTGCCCAGCTGCGCCCCAGCACTAGCTCCAGGAAAGCCAGGAGGAAGGCCAAGCTAGACCCAGTCCCTGAAGGGATGGGCGCAGCCCGGGCTCCCTGCCCAGCTCATGCAGAGGTGGCAGCAGGAAGAAAGCAAAGACTGTTTGGTCTGAAGAAGTTTATTGTCTGAAGGGTCATAGCCCAGGGCTCCTTGCCAAGGGCACACACACACATTTCAGCCTCCCCTGCCAGGGCCTGCCCGGAGGCTCGGAGGCACCCAGATGTGCAGCAGGGACTCAGGACTCAGGGTGTGGGTTGGTCAGCTGCCTCTTCTGCTGGAAGTAGAACTGGAATCGAGACTGAGCATATTCCTGGGAAGGACAGCGGCCCGGCAGTGAGAGTTTGGCCAGTCCATTCACTCTGTCTGGACCGGCACAGCCCTGTTTCTGGGCCCCCTAACCCTCACAGACACATCAGCTGGAACTCAGAGGGACTCTACAGAACAGAGTGCATCCTCGGCCTCCCATGGAAATCTTTAGGGAAGCATCATCCTGCTCCCTGAGACGCCAGAGCAGATGGTAGGAGCAAACCACTGTCCTTCTGGTGGGCAGCCCACACTTAACCTGCAGCACCACCGATGGCTGTAGGGAGGTTGGTTGGGGGGAATGGTGCATCCCCCTCACCATATCCATCTTCTGGTTTACTTACCAGATAACCAAACTCGATGGTGGACATGGACGCTTGAAGGATGGACCAGAGGCCCCAGAAGAAATGAGAGGCCAGGGCATACCTGGGGTGGGGACAGTGCAGTGGCATTGTGGGAGCGTCCTCCCTGGGCTGGTCTGGCCCCTGCAGCCCTGCCTGAGCCAGTCCCTCCTCCATCACCCCCACCCCACTCCCTCCCCACCCCCAGCCCCATATTTCCTCACCGATTGACCTCCACCAGCAAGTGTTCTTCCAGCTCCCTCTGGTGCTCAGGGGAGGGGGCCTCACCCTTCTTTACCTCTGACAGGTAATGGCGAATGAAATGGAGCTGAAAGGAACAGGCAGAGGCAGCATGTCCAACCAAAACCCTTTGGTGCCACTGCCTGGCCCTTCCCCGGGCCCTCTGGCCCATGTACCTGCTGCTCCCGAGTGGGGTAGTCTGCTGGTCTGGCCTTATAGAAGGGCCACTCTTCATGCGTGTAATCGTAGGCCCACTCACAGAAGTGGTTCCCGATGTCAAAGCCCCTGGGGGTGGGGGTGGGAGACACTGAGTCTGCAGCTGAGACACAGCAGGGGCTGAGGGCTGGATCCCTCACCTATAGTTGTAGCTGCTGTACTCGAAGTCCACCAGCATGAGGCTGTCGGTGTCTTCCGGCTCGGAGAGCAGCAAGATATTCCCTGGGGTACGGGTCTGGTCACTCTGGGGCCGCTGGGCCCCAGCACAGGGTCAGGCTGGCTAAGGAGCAGTTTCCTACCTTCTTGGATGTCATTGTGGCAGAAGACCACTGGGGACGGGGTGGATTCTAGCAACTTCCTGCAGGGGAGGGGACAAGTGTCCTGGTCAGCAATGACCAGAGGCCAGAGCTTAGCCCTCAGCACATGCTGGCAGGCACCTCCTACTGCTGGCACCCTCACCTGAGGTTGCCCATCTCGTCCCTCAGGCCATACACCTCCAGCAGGTTTGCCTGGGGGAGGCCGGTGGCGGGCAGGTCCTGGATCTGCTTTAAATACCTGGGCCCAAGGGACAAGGTACACTCACTCCACTGTGTTGGCCCCCCTGGTCAGGCCAGTCGCATCCCCATGGAGGCCTGCTCACCGTTCCATGGTCCCAAACAGCCAGTGGGGCTCTTTGGTGAAGGGCATCTCCATGCCGTGGAACTGGGCCATCTTCTCGGCAATGGCTGCAGACAGCAGTGGCTCTTGGAGCTCTTGCGTTTTCAGGGGCCGGCTCTGCACCCAGGAACCTATCAGGGTGGTGAGGGGGCTGGACGGGAGGGGGATGGGGAGGGGGGGTGGCCAGGGCCTTGGGGAGATTCCCCACCTGGGGCTGAGGAAGGCAAAGCGGACTTGGGGGAGAGGAGGTCAGGGCTGGGCTCGTACTGGGATGTACTGCTCCAGCCGGCCCTCGGGGAAGACACCATAGAGCTGGGGCCCCAGTGACCGCTCAGCGAGGATGGCGAACATCACGCTCTCCTGGACCAAGGAGTCCACGCCCTGAGAGAGGGGGACACAGCAAAGGGCAGAGGGCAGCTAACCCACCAGGCTCTGCCATGTGAGGCAGCAGGGTGACAATGGACAAGTTACTGAGTGTCTGAGCCGCAGTTTTCCTATTTGTGCCATGGGATGGTTTCATTGGCTCACCCTCCTCACCTGCAAGATGGCCCCATACAACCGAAGCAGCACTTCCCTGGGCTCATCACCAACGCTGGGCAGGTGGTCCGGGAGTGAGCAGCGGAACAGCAGGTTACTGAGGCCCCCGCTGCAGACCCAAGGGCATGCTCAGCCGGAGGCAGGCCCCACCACCCTCCGTTGGGTCCCTCCGTCCCACCTCCCCCACGCGCTACCGTCAGTCTTCCCCTGGGTCACTCTGTTCTCTCGGGTCCCTTTTTCCATCCTCCCTAGGTTCTTTCCCGCCATCCTCCCCCAGGGTCCCTCACCCTCCTGTCCCGCTCTCCCATTCCTTCCCGCGAGTAGCTGGGCTGACCCCTGACCTCCCACCTCACGGGAGTAACCCTCAGCTCCTCGGGCCGCGCCTGGCGCCAGGCCCCGCCCAAGTACTCCCGGCAC